AGGGGGGTATAGGGGGCTATGGGCCCCTATAGGGGGTGTGGCCACCAATGGGGCTGCCCTCCCCCTCGCAGGGCCCCCCCTTCCCCCCCCTGGGGTTTCCCTTCCCCTTTTGCAGGGGCCAAGGGGGGGGGAGGGGGCAGGAAGCTCCTTGGCCTCCTCTGCCCCACACGCCGTGGGGCCGGGACCCACGGCCACCTTGGGGTCAATGGGGACGATTTCTGGTGGTTGGCGTGGATGGAGAACCCCATAGTTGACATGGATGGAGGCCCCCATGGTCCATGTGGACGATTCCTCCATGGTTGACACGGATGGAGGCCCCGGGGTCAATGCAGACAACTCCTCCATGGTTGGAGTGGACGGTTCCTCCACGATTGACCTGCACGGAGGCCTCCATGGTCATTGTGGGCAGCTCCTCCATGGTCAGTATGGGCAGGTGTCTCCACAGGGGGTGCCCACACCATCTCCCTCCATCCTTTGCCCGCTGCGGTCAAGAGGCCAGTCCAGGAGGCACCTTCTCCATCACTTGGAGGCACCGTCCCCGTCTCCAGCCTCCCGCCTGTGTCTCCCAGTCCAGCGCAGCCCCGCGGCACCTTCTGAGTCACCTCCCGGCAGAAACCAGGAGCTCCGACCTCTTCCTTACGCAGGAAGCGGGTGGATGGAGAAGTGGCCGCTCTCCAAAGCAAGAAATAGCAGAAGACAACCCAACTTCCCCAACGTCCTGCCCACGGGCAGGCCCTGTGGCACGCGGGGGCCGCAGTGGGTCTTGGTCATGGGGGGACCCTCATTGCCCATATGGGAGCGTTTGTCCTCGCCCCACACACACTCCTGAGGTGGCCCTTGGTGTCCTCGTGTCCTTCAACCCCCATGTGGCTGTTGGGTCTCACCCCACATGTGATCCTGAAGTGGTCCTTGGTGTCCCCATGTTCCTCAACCCCCATATGACTGTTGGGTGTCACTCCACACATGCTCCTGAGGTGGCCCTTGCTGTCTCCATGTTGGGTCTCACCCCACATGTGATCCTGAGGTGACCCTTGGTGTGCCCGTGTCCCTCCACCCCCATAGGACTGTTGGGTCTCACCCCACACACACTCCTAAGGTGACCATTAGTGTCCCCATATCCCTCAGCCCCCATGTGGCCATCGGCCCTCGCCCCACACATGCCCCTGAGGTGGCCCTTGGTGTCCCTGTGTCCCTCAACCCCCATGTGGCCGTTGGGTCTCACCCCCATCATATACCCCATATATGATCCTGAGGTGACCTCTAGTGCCCATGTGTCCCTCACCCCCCTATTGTCCCCATGTCCCCCCCATCCCCAGGTGATCCTCATTGTCCCGGTGTCCCCCCATGTCCAGGGGACCCCACGGTGCCAGCGGCTGCCCCCAGTGTTGAGGAACCACCCGTCTCCAGAGGAGCCAACAGAGAAGACCCGTCCCCACCATGGCTCTCCCTTCGTGATGCCAGCACCTTCTCCCACCAAACTGTGCCGGGACGTTCTACCAGGACAACAAACCCACCGGGACCTTTCTCTGTCCATCCCAGACCTGGTGACGGCATCAGGACAGACGGGACCTGGTGGTGGAAGATCCTTTAATCCCGTTTCCACCCGCCCACCGTGACCACCAACCGGTGACGGGGCTGCGAGGGGCGACGGCTACCGCCAAGCTCGAATTGTAAGGATTTGGGTTAAAAAGAGCTGGTTTGGGCCGCACGTCTGGCGCTGGGGGTGCCAGTGGCACCTCGAGGACACGCGGTGGCCGGGCGGCCCGTTGTGGGGCTCATTGCTGGGCAGCGGCACCAGGGGCCGTGTCCTCCCCGCTGCTCAGGATGGAGGCCCGCGGCTCCGACTCGCCCGTGTCCCGGCAGTGCCTGGAGCGAGAGGGAGGGTCAGGGGACGGGGACGCGGGACACGGCCCGCAGCGACCCCCCGGGGGCGGCCAAGTCACCTGCGTCTCCACACCCAGAACGCGGCGGCGGCGGCGGCGGCCACGAGCACCGACGCGGCCACCGAGAGCCCCACGACGAGCGCAGTGCCCGAGGTCCCTGGAGGAGCCAAGATGGGGCCAGCGCGGAGCCACGTGCGGCGCCGCCTCCGGCACCGCGCGTGTCCCCGCGCCGTCCCCGTCACCCACCCCAGGGCAGCAGGAGGTCGCGGCCGCCCAGGCTGCTGTGCTGCACGCGGCAGGCGTAGCCGTGCGCGGCGCCGGGCGCCGCGGCCACCGCGCGCCGCAGCTGGTAGGTGAGGTCGGCGTTGGGCAGCAGCGGCGAGGAGCCCGGCCCGGGCTGCGGCGCCACCTCGTGACCGTCCCGCAGCCAGGACACGCGCACGGCGCTCGGGTAGAAGCCGGTGACGCGGCACACGAGAAGCAGCTGCGACGGGTCGGGCGTCTCATGGGCGAAGACCACGGCCACCGGAGGCACTGGGATGGGCGAGAGCTACGGTGGTTGCATCCAACACCTTGGGGCAGTTGGGTTGACCATGGGGTGGTTGGGCTGACCATGACATGGTTGGGTTGACTATGACATGGTTGGGCTGACCATGGTGTGGTTGGGCTGAGCATGGAGTGGTTGGGTTGACCATGACATGGTTGGGTTGACCATGGTGCAGTTGGGTTGACCATGGTGTGTTTGAGCTGACCATGGCATGGTTGGGTTGACTATGACATGGTTGGGCTGACCATGGCATGGTTGGGTTGACCATGGCATGGTTGGGCTGACCATGGCATGGTTGGGTTGACCATGGCATGGTTGGGCTGACCATGGCATGGTTGGGTTGACTATGACATGGTTGGGTTGACCATGGTGTGGTTGGGCTGACCATGGCACAGTTGGTTTGGCCATGGCATGATTGGGTTGACCACAGCATGACTGGGTTGACCACAGCATGGCTGGGTTGACCATGGCGTGGTTGGGTTGGTCAGGGGTGGCCTCACCTTGCCTCTGCAGAGCCTCCTTGGCGGCACGCAGGATCATCTGCACGTCGTCCACGCAGGTGTTGTTGAAGAGCACCTGGATGAGCTCCGTGAAGGCCGTGTAGTTCTCCAGCCTGTCCCGCACGTACCTGGCCAGCTCGGTGTCCTGCAGCAGCAGCCAGCTCCCCTTGTCCATGTCGTAGGTGAGGAAGTCGTCACCGTTGTAGCCCACGTAGACGAAGGCCCTGCCGGTGTCGTTGGGGAAGACCAGGCAGCCACCGGTGCACTGGGCCACGAAGGGGTCTGTGGGGTGGGGAGAAGTGGGGAGAGCAGCTTGGACGGCAGCGGGGGTGATACCTGCTCAACCCACCCATCCGACCACAGCTCTAGGGGCACCATTGGCCAACGCGGTGGGCAGCAACGTGGAGACCCCAGGAACGTCAGGCAGCAACGTGGAGGCCCCAAGAACATTGGGTCGCAATGTGGAGACCCCAATAACCTTGGGCAACAACACTGAGACCCCAAGAACCTTGGACAACAACATGGAGACCCCAAGAACATTGAGCAGCAACGTGGAGACGCCAAGAACCTCGGGCAACAAAACAGAGACCCCAAGAACATTGGGCAGCAACGTGGAGACCCCAAAAAACCTCGGGCAACAACATTGAGACCCAAAGGACGTTGGGCAGCAATGTGGAGACCTTGAGAACCTTGGGCAACAACACTGAGACCCCAAGAAGATCAGACAGCATTACAGAGACCCCAAGAACTTCAGGCAACAACATGGAGACCCCAAGAACATTGAGCAGCAATGTGCAGACCCCAAGAACCTTGGGCAACAAAATGGAGACCCCAAGAACATTGGACAGCAAAGTGGAGATCCCAAGAACATTGGGCATCATCGCAGAGACCCCAAAAAACCTTGGGCAACAACATTGAGACCCAAAGGACGTTGGGCAGCAATGTGGAGACCTTGAGAACCTTGGGCAACAACACTGAGACCCCAAGAACATTGGGCAGCAATGTGGAGACCCCAAGAACCTTGGCCAACAACATGGAGACCCCAAGAACGGCCCTTCCCAATGACCCTGGGCAGGATGGGGACACGTGGAGAAGGAAGGGAAGGGTGGAGGTCGCCAGCTGTGCTACTGACAGCAGGGCCTGACCTGCAGGCCCCGTGGGGACCTTCACGGGCACCGTCACTCACAGGGCACCTGCTTCAACACGGCGCCTTCTTGGATGAGGTGGTGGAACTTGCTCAGGTAGATCTTGACCATGTCGCTGATGGTGTCCCAGTCGCTGCGGGGCAGCGCTGGCTGCACCCAGGGCTGCAGGAAGTGGATGCTCCAGGTGCGGCTGTCCAGGAAGCCCAGCGGGATGTCGTCCAGCAGCCCCCGCGCCTCGGTGGCCACGGAGGTGGCATTGTGGAACGTGGTGGTCTGCAGGAGGCGCAGCACGGACGGACCGGACACGGGCGGGAAGGCTGAGCGGGGAGAGGAGCTCAGAGCAATGGGGATGATCCCGGGGGTCCCCTTGGGCATCGTCGTCACCATGGAGGAACCCAAGGACACCCAGGGCCACCCGGGCTGGGTAGGGACGTAGCCAACACAGGGTTGAGGACCACGCAGCTCTGAGGCCACCACCGTGTCCCAGAGTCTCCCCCTTACCTGCTTCCAGCTTCTGGTCGCCACCGGAGGGCAGGAGGAGGAGGAAGAGGAGCAGGGCCAGCATGGCGCCGGCGGCAAGCACCAAGGCGGGCGCGAGCGAGCGGCGGGGACGGTGACAGTGTCGCCGGGGCCGCCTGCACTTCCTCAGGTTGACACCAACCAGCGGCGCCGGCAGCCAATGGTGCCCGCGCTGGGGTTTCAGGGAGGACCCGGCGGTGGCGGAATGGGTGAGTCACCGGCTTGGTGGCCACAGGGTGACGAGGACGTTGCGAGGGGTTGGGTGCTCGGCCCGGGGCTGCTGCCCAGAGCCACTCGTTGGGTTGGGTTGGGTTGGGTTGGGTTGAGTTGAGTTGGGTTGGGTTGAGTTGGGTTGGGGGCTTCCTCCCCAAGGCCACCACTCGGACCCAATGAGGGCACCTTGGCCACCACCCAATAGGGGCCCAGCGGCATCAGGCCAGCCTTGGGTCATCAACACATGGGGACGGCACCGCTGGCAGCCCCGGTGACAGGGGAAGAGGTACCTGGAAGGGCTGGGGGACCAGAGCCACCAGGATGGGAGGGGACGGGAAGGGACATCAGAGGTGACACCAAAGGAGACCGAGCACAGAGGACAGAGCGGGGACAGGATGATGGGGGACATGGACGTTTATTGGAAGGGGAGGACGGGGACGCGTGGGCATCACGTTGCCCTTGGGGGGAAGGAGGGAGCCTCAACGGTGATGCCGACGCCACCAAACGATGCCAGCGATGGCCACGACCACCATGACAAGGACAACGATGACAATCCAGGTGACGTGGCTGGATTTGGCTCCATCTGGATCTGCAACGGGGAGAAGCGTCCGGACGCGTGCGGTGACGCCGCCCACATGTGGGAGCTCCACGGAGCCACCATCACATCCTCGTGGCCGTCACCCACCCCAGGGCAGCAGGAGGTCGCGGCCGCCCAGGCTGCTGTGCTGCACGCGGCAGGCGTAGCCATGCGCGGTGCCGGGCGCTGCGGCCACCGCGCGCCGCAGCTGGTAGGTGAGGTCGGCGTTGGGCAGCAGCGGCGAGGAGCCCGGCCCGGGCTGCGGCGCCACCTCGTGACCGTCCCGCAGCCAGGACACGCGCACGGCGCTCGGGTAGAAGCCGGTGACGCGGCACACGAGAAGCAGCTGCGATGAGTTGGGCTCCTGGCGGGCGAAGACCACGGCCATTGGTTGCACTGGGATGGTCAAGAGCTACAGTCACTTGGGCTGGTCAGCATGGTGTCATCCAACACCATGAGGCAGTTGGGTTGACCACGGAGTAATTGGGTTGACCATGGTGTGATTGGGTGGACCATGGAGTAGTTGGGTTGATCATGGGGTGGTTGGGTTGATCATGGGATGTTTGGGTTGACCATGGCATGGTTGGATTGATCATCGTATGGTTGGATTGACCATGGTGTGGTTGGGCTGATCATAGGGTGGTTGGGTTGACCAAGGCATGGTTGAGTTGACCATGGTGTGGTTGGGTTGATCATAGGGTGGTTGGTTGACCAAGGCATGGTTGAGTTGACCATGGCGTGGTTGGGTTGATCATAGGGTGGTTGGGTTGACCATGGTGTGGTTGGGTTGATCATGGGGTGGTTGGGTTGACCATGGTGTGGTTGGGTTGATCATGGTGTGGTTGCGTTGATCACGGGGTGGTTGGGATGACCATGGCGTGGTTGGCTTGACCTAGGGGGCCTCACCTTGTCTCTGCAGCTCCTTCTGCCCACTCTGGAGCAAGCTCCTCATGTGCTCGACGCAGGTGAAGTTGAGGAGCTCCTGCAGCACGGCCGAGACCCCCGTGAGGCTGTTGAACGTCTCCTCCATGCGCGTGGCCAGCGCGTCCCCTCTCTGCCGCACCCAGAAGGCCTCGTCCACATCGAAGACGATCAGGTCCTGCCCGTTGTAGCCCAGGTAGCAGAAGCTGGTGGAGGAGCCGTTGGAATAGAGCTCACAGCCCACCATGTTCTGGTACACGAAGGGGTCTGCGGGGACGACATGGGGACACCATCACTAGTGCTTGAAGCCCAGAATGGAGCCCACCACCCACTGCCTTGGACGTGGCTCTTTGCCCCACTCCATCCCCAACCCCATGGGATTTCTCCCCATCCTCTTGCTTGGGTAGAATCCAACGGGTGAGGCCACACAGGGGGCACCCATGGGGTGAGGAACGAGGACAACCAAGCGCCATCTCCCACGGGAAGAGCCCCGGGTGCCCAGGGAGCACCGGTTGCTCTCCGAGCTCCTCTCGCCCCAGCTCCCCGTTGGCGCAAGGGGGACGCCCGAGCGCGCGGGCGCTCACAGGGCTCGCCGTGCTGCGTGGCGTCGCCCTCGAGCAGCAGGATGAGGTTGTGCACGTAGATCTTGAAGAGGTTTCCCAGCTGCTGCCACTCGGCCGCTGGCAAGGCCGGGGACACCCAGGGGCGCTGGTAGATGATGTCCCTCGTGGTGTCATGCAGGGCGGCGAAGGCGACGCCGTCCAGCTCCGCCGCGGTGCCCACGTCGACCACGGTGGTGTTTTGGAAGGCCAAGGTGAGGAAGAGGTGGAGGGTGTGCGGCTCGGCGGCGAGAGGTGTCGAGGCTGCCAGGGAGGCGCTGGCACCGCCACACGGAGCGGGGCGCGGCGCCGCGAGGAGGCCGGGGGGCCCACGGGGACCTCGGGGACACCTCGGCGAGAGGCTGCCTCCAGCAAGGCCACGGGACGCGCAAGGGGGAGAAGGGAGGCCGAGGCGCCCGGAGGCCGCTGGGCTTCCCGGGTGGCGCTCAGAGGGGCTGGGAGGCCGCGGGCAAGCGGGAAGGAGGCAGCAGTGCGAGGGTGACGGTTGCAACGGGATGTGGGGCAGGGAGCTGGGCACAGCGAGCGGGTCCTCCACGGCGCTGGGGGGCCCGGCCTCCATCTCGGCAGCGCGGGCGGGATGCGGCGTGTTGGGGCTCCCCGTAACAGCGGGGCTGGGGTCCCCCCTGCCCTGCACGAGGCCGGAGCCAACGGCGCCCACCCACCCCCAGGCACGAGCCGCAGGCGCGAGGAGGGCAAGGGGAGCGGGCCGGGAGGCCCCGCGGCCGGCGCGGGGGATGGAGGCCGGGGGGAGGCTCCCGCTTACCGCCGAGCAGCCTCCGGGGCACGAGGAGCAGCAGGAGGAGGCACGGCAGCATCGCGGCGGGCGCGGAGGAGATAGAGGAGGAGGCGGCGGCGCGCGGGGGACGCGGGCGGACGTGTCTCCCCAGGGACGGGTGGAGGCCAACGGGGCCGAGCGGAGGCTTGGGGGAGGGAGGGCCCTGGAGGCCGGGCACGGGGTGAGTCACCGCGGTGGCGGCTTCTGGGGAACCAGGGCAGCTTCCCCTTCCTGTGGCTGCGGGTGGGCACCCCCGTGGGCGCCGTGACCCGGGGGGACCCCGGCGAGGGCGCTCCCGGGAGGGTCCCCATTCCTGGTCGCCCCGGGGTGCCCCGGGGAGTCCCGGCGCCGAGGCCGCTGGGTGCCCGTGTGGGTGCACGGGGAGGTCGGGTGTCCTGCAGGGCCCCCGCGCTGACGGGGCCGAGGAGCGAGGACACGGGGGACACCCCGCAGGGTCATCGGGGCGCGGGCGGGCACCGCCGCCCCCTCGCCCCGCGATTCCGCCTGGTGCCCCACCGGGTCCTACCGGGATCTGTCCTAGTAGCTCCACGTCCCCCTTGTCCACGGGCTGGATTCCCTCCCTGGACCTGCTGGGGACACCCTGTCCAATGCCCCCAGGGTCCCCTTGGCCTTCTTGGCCATCGGGGCCCATCTCTGCCCATGGTCCCCTTGGAGGCCACCGGGACCTTCTTCATGGAGCTGCTCTCCAGCGACTCAGCCCCATCCTGTCCCTTTATGCAGGACATGGATGAAGATGTTGGGCAGGACCGGACCCAGAGCAGAGCCCTGAGGACCAATCATTTATAGGTCTTCATCTAGACCCTGCGTCGCTCCGAGCGACGCTCTGAGCTCTGCCCTTCAGCTGGGTCTCACCTTGCACTGCCACCACCCACCTCACTGTCCCCTCATCCAGCCTACGAGGACACTCGGGGACACAGTAGAGGAGGTGGCCCTGAGGTCTCCCACCTTGCACATCAAACCAGCTCCAGGTCTCACATTCCCACCCCAAGATGTGAACGGGTTCCAAGCCCCCAGCCCTCCAGGCAGCCCAACGTGGCGCTGGCTCCAGGTCCCACCACCCTCCTCCTACCAGGAACCTAAAACACCCTTGGGCCGGGGCGGTGTCCACCGTTTAATGGGGTGGTCGCGTCAAGGCCAAGACCAGGTCGCTGCGTGAGGAGGTGGGAAGAGTGAAGTCCATGAGTTCCTCAGACCCCTGGTGTTGCTGGCTCCTGGGAGCGGCGGCGTTCCAGCTCCTCCCGCCTCCACGTCCCCGGTGGCATCGACGACGATGGGAGGCTACATGAGGGAGCCCGGGCGCCGGGCGGCACCCACGTCCTCGTAGCTCCTGCAGGGAGAGAGCGGGATGAGTCGGGCAGCACGTCCAAGCAGGGAGCGATTCCCGACGGGGAACGGGAGGGACGGGCCCCACTTGTGCCGCCGGCAATACAGGAAGGCAATGATGGCCAAGGGCACCGCGATGAGGAGGACGACGACGACGACGATCCACGTGACGTGGCCGGTCTGGGCTCCATCCGGATCTGCAGATGGGGGGAAGCGTCCGGACGCGTGCGGTGGCACCAAGCGGCATCACCCACGCGTGGCCATCACCCACCCCAGGGCAGCAGGAGGTCGCGGCCGCCCAGGCTGCTGTGCTGCACGCGGCAGGCGTAGCCGTGCGCGGCGCCAGGCACCGCGGCCACCGCGCGCCGCAGCTGGTAGGTGAGGTCGGCGTTGGGCAGCAGCGGCGAGGAGCCCGGCCCGGGCTGCGGCGCCACCTCGTGACCGTCCCGCAGCCAGGACACGCGCACGGCGCTCGGGTAGAAGCCGGTGACGCGGCACACGAGAAGCAGCTGCGACAGGTCGGGCGTCTCATGGGCGAAGACCACGGCCATTGGTTGCACTGAGACAGGCAATAGTCAAGGTCACTTGGGCGTGTCAACGTGGTGGCCCCATCAAACACCATGGGGTGCTTGGGTTGACCACGGCATGGTTGGGTTGACCATGGCATGGTTGGGTTGATCATGGCATGGTTGGGTTGATCATGGCGTAGTTGAGTTGACCATGGAGTGGTTGGGTTGACCATGAAATGGCTGGGCTGAACATGGCATGGTGAGGTTGATCATGATGTGGTTGGGATGATCATGGCATGGTTGAGTTGACCATGGCATGGTTGGGTTGATCATGGCACGGTGAGGTTGATCATGACGTGGTTGAGTTGACCATGGCATGATTGGGCTGACCATGGCGTGGTTGGGTTGACCATGGCGCGGTTGAGTTGACCATGGAGTGGTTGGGTTGACCATGAAATGGTTGAGCTGAGCATGGCATGGTGAGGTTGACCATGGCATGTTTGAGTTGACCATGGTGTAGCTGGGCTGACCATGGCGTGGTTGGGCTGACCATGGCCTTGCTGGTTTGATCATGGCATGGTTGAGTTGATCATGGTATGGTTGGGTTGACCATGGTGTGGTTGGGCTGACCATGGCATGGTTGGGTTGACCATGGTGTGGTTGGGTTGACCATGAAATGGTGGAGATGACCATGGCGTTGTTGGACTGACCATGGCATGGTTGGGCTGACCATGACATGGTTGGGTTGACCGTGGCGTGGTTGGGCTGACCATGGTGTGGTTGGGCTGACCATGGGTGGCCTCACCTTGCCTCTCCAGATCCTCCTTCCCCAACCGACCCAGGGCGAGGAGGCTCTTGGGGCAGGTGACGTTGAGGAGATGCGTGAGGGTGTCGCTGGTGCCCTTGTCGTCGTTCAGCATCGCCTGCACGTCGCGCGCCACGTCATCGTCGCGCCGCCGCGTCCAGCTGCCGTTGCGCGGGCTGAAGCCGAGGAAGCCCCGCCCCTCGAAAGCGGCCTCGAAGAAGCTGCTGTTGTCAGGAGCCACGTGGCAGCCCATGGAGCACTGAACCACCATGGGGTCTGCACGGCATGGAGGGGGCATCATGAGCCCCACAATGACCAGGATGATCCCAACACTGCATCCATGATGGGGGCTTGGTAGACACCATCATGAGCCCCATAATGACTAGGACCAACCCAACACCGCATCCATCATGGGGGACTCAGTAGACACCACCATGAGCCCCATAATGACCAGGAACAAACCCAACACCACGTGCATCATGGGGGACTTGGTAGACACCATCTTGAGCCCCATAATGACTAGGACCAACCCAACACTGCATCAATGAAGGTAGACACTTGGTAGACACCCTCATGAAGCCCAAAATGACCAGGATGAACCCAACACCGCATCCATGATGGGAGCTTGGTAGACATCACCATGAGCCCCATAATGACCAGGACAAACCCAACATTGCATTCATCATGGGGGACTTGATAGACACCATCATGAGCCCCATAATGACCAGGAACGAACCCAACACCATGTGCATCATGGGGGACTTGATAGACACCATCATGAGCCCCATAACGACTAGGACCAACCCAACCCCACATCCATCATGGGGGACTTGCTGGGCACCATTGTGAGTCCCATCACGACCAGGACCACCAGGATCAACCCAACGGCATCTCCATCAACCCAAGATCTCCATCATGGAGATCTTGGTGGGCACCACTGTGAGCCCCAGAGCAGCCAGGACCAACCCAACGCCACGTCCATCATGGTGGACAAACCGCTCCTCCAAGACCTATTCTTGAAGGCCTGACGGGATCACCTGGTTGGGGGTGTTGGGAAGAGCCAAGAGGGGCCCCTTGACGCCAGGTCCTACTCACATGTGAGGGCCTTGCGCTGGGCCAGCTGGTCCACCAGGTGGGCGAGGTTGTGGAGGTAGGAGTCGAAGAGGAACTCCAGGTCGGCCCAGACGGGCGGCGCCAAGGCCGGCGAGACCCAGGGACGGAGGAAGCGGATCGTGTGGTTCCGCGGCTCCCAGGCCGCGGCGGCCACGTCGCCCAGCAGCGCCAGCCCGTCCGTGTGGGACGCGCCCGGGCGCAGGAACACGCTGCTCTGGAGCACGTGGAGGGCGAGGGGACCTGGCGGGACAGCGGGGCCACGGGGCGGCCCCTCGGTTGGGAGAATCTGCCCCACGGGCTGGTGGCCACCAAACCACATGCCCTTCATTGGGGGAACCTTCTATAGGTGCTGGTGGCCCCCAATCCACATCCCCTTGGTCAGGAGAACCTTCTCCACATGCTGGTGGCCCCCAAACCACTTGCCCTTCATTGGGGGAACCTTCTATAGGTGCTGGTGGCCCCCAATCTACATCCCCTTGGACAGGAGACCCTTGCCTATGTGCTGGTGGCCACCAAACCACATCCCCTTGGTCAGGAGAACCTTCTCCGGGTTCTGGTGGCCCCAAACCGAGTCTCCTTGGTCATGAGAACCTTCCTGAGGTGCTGGTGACCTCCAATCCACATCCCCCTTGGCCCAGGGAACCCTTCCCTGTGGGCTGGTGACCTCCAAACCACATCCCCTTGGACAGGAGACCCTTCTGCAGGTGCTAGTGGCCCCCAAACTGAGTCTCCTTGGCCAGGAGAACCTTCCTTAGGTGCTGGTGGCCCCCAAAACACATCCCCTTGGCCAGGAGACTCTTCTCCATGGGCTGGTGACCTCCAAACCACATCTCCTTGGGTGGGAGAACCTTCCCTGGGTTCTGGTGGCCACCAAACTGAGTCTCCTTGGTCATGAGAACCTTCTCCAGGTGCTGGTGGCCCCCAATCCACATCCCCTTGGACAGGAGACCCTCCCCTCGGCTGGTGGCCCTGGGGGGGGACAAGAGGGACCCCGCCCGGGGTGGGGGGGGCCGAACGGGGCTCCCGGGGGCCACCACTTACCGGGAGCGGCCCCGGGGAGCGGGAGGAGGATGAGGAGGGCGACGAGGAGCAGCG